AAGTTAAGTAAAATTATTTCTCTTCGTTTATAATCATGTTCTTTTCAAAAGTTGATTAGATTATTATGCTAAATGATATTGAAACTTTTGAATAAAGAGAGAGTCCACACTGGTCTGTGGACTCGATGTTGTTTTTGAAAGCTTTTCCTTTGAAACAGATAAAAGATTTTAATTGTTTTTGGAAAATTTAATTGATCATTAGAGAGAGAGAGAGAGAGAGAGAATTTGGAATCTTTTCCTCTTTGATTTTTGGGACATTTCCAGAAAATGTCGATGATGGAGGAGTTCGTTTATTTTTTAGACTTTTGAGCGTTTCCAGAAAATTTCCATGATGGAAGACTCCTCTGTGGTTTACAGTCTGAAGAAATAGGTCGAAAAGGACAGTCTAATAAATTTCTACGAATTTTTTACCGCCCTCCCTTCCCTTATTTTTCAAACTTGGAATTCTACATAGATCAAGAGTTAGATTATGAATGTAACGAACGATGGCAGATAACAAACTGCTAACCTTACCAGGAGAGTCGATTCAAATCTTTAACGATAAATTATACTATATTTCCTACTCCATATTATTTCCTTTAATTATTACTACATCTACAAAAAAAAAAAAAAACCAACTTTCATCCATAATTTCCTCCAAATTATAACGAAATATACATACACGTAATTAAGATTTTTAAAAAATTTTCAAATCGTCGCGATACGATATCACAATATCGTACGATAATAATATTTTCATTGGAAAGAGACAAGAAGGAATCAATTTTGTTTTCTTAAATAATATTTTTCCTTTTCCGTTGTAACGTAGCTGCAATACGCACACTTTGATTCGTGATAACAATCCCACCCACTCGTTCGATATTATTTCGTTCGTTTCATTTCTCTCTCCAGGATAATGGTTCTTTTTTTTTCGTTTGGTGGGCAAGAAAAAAAAAAGAAGAAGGGTCAACTTACCCCGAATAGGCGAATTGAGAGAAGTAGAGTATCATTCTCAAGGACAGATCTCGTTCCTTGTCGCTGTACTTGAGAGACTTGTTCAGGGGATGGCCGAACACGTACTCAACCTCGTCACCGTGCAATACGCCCATCCACTCGCCCCATAGATTGGTGCTCGTCCTCTGCAACATTGCGTGACATGGCATAAATCCATCGATATTAATCGCACGCAATATTTGTTGCGTTCTCTGCAACTTGTTTGTACGAAAAATTTCCTTATTTATTAATTACATTGACATTCGTAATTCACGATTTTGCAAATCATCATGTATAAAAATTTTCGTTAGATCGCAGCAAAATCTCCATTCAAACTTATGCCATTCATTATTTCCCATCGTTTGATAATTTTATTTACATTAGTTAAATCATCCTTCCCTTCCAATTTGATTAAATTTAATTCCACGAATCTTTCCACAAGAATCTTTATACACGCTCTCGTCAAACGAGCACTGTAAAATAGCGCGCACTTCTAGCTTGTCGTCATGTATCAACCCTCGCCCCACAGATCGACCCCTCTGACTCTCCACTGACGCGATATCGCGTTCCTATTAACCGACCATCCCGCAGTTTGTCAGTTTTCATTTCGCACAGGCGCCACTTGCCACCTGGAAATGGTATTTCTCGTTGGGAAATTGATTCCCTATCGAGTGGAGAGGGGGGAAAAATTTTGGAAAATTCCAAATTGTTGGAAATCTCTCTGGAAAGGGATGATCTTCGTTTCGAAAAATAATTCATCCCTTCCAACTTTCCAAGAGAGATTTCCAAGACAATGGAATTTGGAATTTTCCAAAATTTTCCCCCCCCTCTCCTTGATAGAGAATCAATTGGATAGGAGAGTATTAAAAAAATTTGCTATCATCATTTTAGTCATTTTAAGTATCGATATTATCGTACCTGTCTGGAATAAGAGATCCAAGAATAAGTTTTTACTTATAGATATAGTTTAAGATGAAAATAGCGTTGTGACGATGGATAGAATCTACAAGTCCTTCGGATAAATTGGCGAAAGGAGGATTGATCGACAGAATTTACAAGTCTGAAGTGTGTATTTATGCGCAAAATTATTATTTTATTATTGCGATTTCGTTTTAAAATATTCGATGCTTAAAATATGCATCTGTTTAATATATATTAAATTAGAATTTGATTTTTAAATCTAACCTAGCTCGATCTAACCTAACCTAAATTCAGATCAGATTTTATTATTGCATTTCTTTATTACGTATTCACTGTTAATTTAAGAATCGAGTTTTGACACAAACTATAAATATATTTAACTCCACTCCATTTGCAGAATTAACCTAACGCTAAAACACGACAATTGAAGATTTTATGCATTACATTATTGATTCAAATTGTTGAAAAGATAAGATCTGCTGAAATCGTTTATCGGTTAATTTAAATTTGATCAAAACTTAACCGTAATCCACGTAACAACTAGGTCAATAACCCACATCCGTCTCTTTCTGCGGGTAACGCAAACAGGTTACCTGCCAGTCTATAATAACGTAATCAGGTTGTCAACTATCGTTACTGTCAGTTTATTGAATATCCATTTGACTGCATGAATTAATTAAAAAGAACGACCGAGGAAGACTAGGAACGCAGCACGGTATTAACCGACGAACAAGGGGCGTTACTCGAGATGCCCAGGTGTCTACTGGAAACTGAAATTATTCTAATATAGCGCTTCCGTGGTGAAATACAGTACCTTTGGAGGATCAACGAAGCGTCAACGGGTTACGTAGGAACCAAGAAATGTTTCTTGCCTCGAGACGTGTACCGTGTTTAAGCGTTCCTCACACGATGAGACTTCGCCTCGGGGCGAGTGATGGGTTTAACACCGCTTCGAATTGTTTCGAATCGAGCAGAGATGATATTTGAATGGAACGAATATACATCGCGGAGACAAACGATTTAAGATCGCTCGTCAAATATGATTCAAAGTAACTTCAAATAGTCTTAATAGTCACGCGTGAAACTTATTTCGTGATAAGTGATGGGTTTAAGAATTCCACTCGATTCAAAATAATTCCTCGTGGTCTTGAGTCCCTTGTACGATGAAATTTGGATAAAAGTATACAATTTGAAATAATTCCAAATAGTCTTAAGGATCACATTCGAGATAAGTGATGGGTTTAAGAATCTCTACTCGATTCAAAATAATTCTTTGAGTCTCTTGTACAATGAAATTTGGATAAAAGTATACGATCTGAAATAATTCAAATAATCTTAAGGATCACACTCGAGATAAGTGATGGGTTTAATCTCTACTCGATTCAAAATAATTCCTCGTGGTCTTGAGTCCCTTGTACGATGAAATTTGGATAAAAGTATTTCAAAAATTTGAAATAATTCCAAATAGTTTTAAAGATCATATGCGAGACTTATTTTGAGATAAGTGATGGGTTTAAAATTACTTGGAATTGTTTTGAATCTTTGCTCGTCGCGCTATTTCAAAATAATTTCAAAAAGTAAACTTAAGGCATCCTCTGCATAGACGAGATTAGATAAGCGATTCGAATGATCTTGACACAACGATGATTCTGCACAAAAAAAAAAAAATAACTCATAAAATTCAAAATATCGATGCATATTAACGATCAACACCTCTATACTGGACACTTGTATCAAACTAGAGTAGAAAATACGAAAAATTCTTTCTCACGAAAGATCTTCTCACGATCAAATACAGCGTTATAATAATAAGAAATCTGTATGTACATCGCTTAAACCCATCACTCGCCTCGAGGCAAATCTCATCGCGCAGAGGGCGCTTTATCGCCTCGGGCCTAGGGGAAAATTGTGGCCCGGCTCGGAATCGTTGGAAATTGAACGCCTGTGAATACCCTTTGCTCAGTTGACGTACAATGCCGTCAACTTTCGCCAAAACTCCTTTCCCGAACACTTTCTTCTCTTGTTGGGAATTTCCGAATTGTATAGGGAATTCCACCCCGTCTCTTCAACTTTTCATTGGTTTTTTTTTTTAATTTAAGGGTAGGGAGAGGAGAGGGGACACGCGAAATCTGTTCAATTTGAACGGAATCCAGATGGATCTGATTTGGGGAATTCTTTCGTTCGATCGTTGGGATCGTTTCCAACAAGTATGGTGGTGGACGCGGGACCAGATGTTTTAAACGGGAATTAATTAAGGCGTTGATTAATTTGATGCTCGAGATCGAGTTTCGAAATTTGAAACGTGAAATTCGTGGAAAATGGTCGACGGTGTGAGTGTGGAGATTTTTTTTTTTTTTTGAGAAAAATAAGAGAAGTGAAAGTAAGGGAAAGAGGTAGAGGTAGAATTTTTTTTTCTTTTTTGTAATTGATTCTTTTACTTATTTATAAAATAAGAGGATCGATAGTTAGTGTAGGATATTTTCTTTTGATGCTTGAGAACAGATCCATCATACAATTTTGAAGGGAGATTTTGACGAGATCGAAAATTTAAAAATTCATGAAACACGGTTGATAGTCGAGTATGAGGAAAGATGGGATGGAAAGTAAATCGAATTTTTTTTTCTTTATAATTATTATTCTTCTATAAAATAAACTATTTTATTGGTAAATTATAAATTAAAATTTAGATTTAATAAATAAATTTGATTCAATGATTTCTTCATTACGATTAAAATTCAATTTGTCAATTCACTATCTATCTTTACTTTATCGAAATATTTATATCCTTTTTAGTTTTCTACTTGATAAATAAACTTATTCTTTTCACATATAACTTACTAATATTTAAAATTTCGATGTATCTCTGTTTTAAAACGCGATCTTTTTTCTTTTTTTTTTTTTGAATAGCTACGAGATAGTATTTGTTAATCGATAAGGGGATGAGCAAACACGTGGGCACCACGTTGTTTAAATCACAGTGTTTGCGACGGATCTATCGTGTTTATCTTCGATCTAGACATTGGTGTTTGTTAATTGTCTGACGACGAATACACTTTCTATATATATTTCTTCGTATCATCTGTGTTTCTCCATAAAATGCATTTTATTGCATCAATAAATAAATTAGGAATATATGTATAACAAAGTTGGAAATATTTCATGCGAGCCATTGATTTAAACCCATCACTTAAATCAATGCATCATGCTTCGATATCTACACAGGCTACATTAAATTAATTTTCATTTAAAAAAAGAAACTTAACTCTTTCGTTAACATATATACATATAATAAAGAATATTCCACTGATTCGAGGGAAAAAAAATCAAAATCATTTTTAAAGAGTTCCACAAAGAATTTCTCCATTCCCATCCACTTAAACCCATCACTTAAATCAATGCATAACACTTCGATATCTACATTAAATTAATTTTCATTTAAAAAAAGAAACTTAACTCTTTCTAACTCGAAAAAAAAAGTCAAAATCATTTTTATAAAATTCTACGTTAAAATTTCTATAATAAAAATTTCAAGAAAAAAAAATCAAAATTACAGACCTCTCTATTCTCCATAGCAAAAAATTTCAACTCAGTCTTATACATTCCCGATTAACAAAATAATAACAACGATATAGCGCGATATCCATTGACTCCAAGCCAAAAAAAAAAAAAAAAAAAAAAAGAATTCGAACCCAGTTTCCATCATCGAGGGATTGGAAAAATTAACGCGACAAGAATACGAGGACGTAGGACGAGAATAGAAGCGGCTAAGATTCCACAATGAGAAGGAAAACGTACGTAATGTATATCTAGCCAGGATTTCTCGTCTATTTTCGCGCAGGCAGGAATAGGTAGAGCGACGAGGTGTATCCCCCAATTGGTGGGGCCGTGTTATCAACTGGGCCATTTATTGATTCAGCCGCGGCCTGTATTCTTAAATCCCGGCCAGATACGACGGAAATAACTGGGAATCCGTGCATAATACGACGACGACGTCCCGACGAACTTCTAAAATGGACGGGGTTGGAAAATCCGACACAATAGGATCTCGACCCAACGACTATCGAAGGAGAGAGAGAGAGAGAGAGAGAGAGAGAGAGAGAGAGAGAGGAGGAGGAGGAGGAGGTAGTTAGTAGTAGTAA